GCGCCGCTTTTTTTTCTCCTCAGGCAGTGAGAAGGACAGCCCCGGCGCTGGGGAGGGCAGGGAGGCGAGGAGAAGCAAGATGGCAGCTTCCTTGTGGCTGAGCTGCGGCGGCAAGAGGGTGACGAGGCTGCTGCTGGGGGGGCGGCCAGTTTTGGGCGCTGGCGTGTCTTTCCCCGCTCGAGGAGGCTGGAGGCGTCTGCACGGGACCCGAGAGCTACAGGGTGAGTGATGAGCCCATCACTCGATGGAAGGATCCTGCACCCTTCGTTGTTAGTCGGGTGCCTGTGCTGTTGGCCTGCTGCAAGCGTGTGTGGAGGAGCTGCGGCGTTAAGTTAGGGATGAGGGTTGGTGGTGCTGGGGGAGAAGTAAAGGCTACGCAAGGTGGTGGGGAGGTGTGAGTGCCTGGTGTTACCAGGTGGGTGTGTAGAGTGGCAGGGCATTTGGTGTACTGAGCAGGAGAGACTGAGTAGCAATGACCGATTGGGAAGTGGATGAGAGGCTATGGAGATGGGTTAGTTTGGTAGGGTGCTGTTTGGTTTGGTCTTGAAGTACTGGAAGTACATCAGGAAGGGTATGGGCTGATAGGAGAGAATTTGGAGAGGTGTGAGAATTATTAAAGGTCTAGAAAATGTGATCACTGAGAAAAAACTGAAGGAACTGGAGTCTAGAGAGGAAAACAGATTGATGGGAGATTAGGCCTTCAAATATGTAAATAATCTTATGGATAAGGAAAAAAGTGCTTACAGTTGAAAATAGTTGAGTGTTTTCTAGGTGTAAGTATAGTTAAGTACTGAAAGAGTTTTTGATTTTGGGTGTTGTCCCCCCCCGCAATGTTTGGAGATTCCACCACCTTTCTGTCATCTGTTTATTCTACAAGTAATGTTTCAAGTAGCTGGAGAAGGGCATGGAAGCTATATTTTATGTAATTTTTTTTTTTTTAAATGGAGTTTGACTTTATTAATTGCATGTCTAGCATACATTGCTACATAGAAGTCAACCTATGAAGTTATGGCCTTTCAAGATACTATTTCTCTTCTCAGGAGTTTGTTGTTACAGAATTACCAGGCAGATCTTCTACTTACCTTCCATATTTTCCTCTAAGAGATGTGGGAAGGGTTTTGGATACCCACGTGAAATGTGATCTTTTCTTTCCCTACTTGATCTGTTAGTTAAAACTTGTAAAACATTTAGACAATAATCAGGTGCATTTTTATTAGGTCCTGGTGTGATACTGAGCATAAAATACCTGAACTCTTTGTTTGTTAAGTGCATTTATAAAGAAGTGAGCTTTTGCTAACCTTGTGAAATAAAACTACATGCATTTTACAATAAAACTCAGTAGTAATTTAGAGACTTGTTAATCATTGTGTCTTAGATCTCAGTATACCCTTCTTTCCAGCACCGGTTGTCTTTGCTGCTTTGCAGTATGAAAATCTCTTCCTCTGCAAAACATGCTGTGTATGATATAGGGAAGGCCATCCCTGTTCTTGAAACAAATGTTATTTATTTTTCAAATTTTATTAGAGAAAAATTGCTTCCTTCATAAAATGTTTGTCTTTTTGTCCAATGCAGGATTAGCTATGTCTACATTAGTGTTATTGTCTAACTCCTTAAAGACCTCTTGTTTACAGTCCTTCCAGGCAATCTATTATAGTACTTTATATCTTTATGGTGAGAAAGGCTTATTTAATATATAGCTGGAGTTAAATTATTAATTTTGCATATGGAAATCAGTGAAATTTTTTTCTTCCTTACAGTAAGCTTTTATGTATTAAGGTGGATATATCACACCTTAAACTTGTTCAGGCTTTCCTCATTGACTTGTTTCTTTGAACCCTCAGTATTCCTTACTGCTTTTCAAGGTGGTGCATATCTGTGACACCATTTTTCTTAAATGTTTATTGTAGTCTCTAAAATGAAAACAAAGAGAAAAGCCATACCTTCTCTGGTAAAACACAGCTCTTTCGGCAAATTCACCTTTAAATTCTCAAACTAGGAACAGAGAGTGAGTCAGTTTTATTTTAGTATTAGTTTTATTTCTCCACTTTTCTGTTTCTGAAAATGCCAATATTTGAAGCATTGGTTCATGTGGATCTAGTTTTGTTGTGTCACTTTAGTTTTTTGCTTCTCTATGTGTTTCTGTCCCTCTCTGTGGTGGTGGTAGGGGAGGGAGAAAGCTGCTTTGCGTAGTCAAAACGATTAATTCAGAATTGAATTCCTAGTTTGTTGGTTACAAGGAAGGAAGAAAAATAGAATGAACCTTTATGTTGGAGGTCTGTCAACTTTTCTTTGTTTTTAATGTTTCTTAATCTTATCATTGATGTCAGGTTGGAGTAAATCTTTCAATTCCCTACTGACTACAGAGTATGGCTTAAGTTATGAAATATCTCTCCAGTGGAGCACATTAAAGCATTTGTCTTCAGTTCATTGCAGGTTTTTTGGTTTGACAATGCTGTAGCTGTTTCCATGTCAAAGGAGGTCAAAAAGAAGCAATGAACCTGTGTTATGCTGAATAAGCTTAAGTACAAAATTCACAGTCAATGGGATTCTCAGATTGTAGTTAATAGGATATTAGAGAAGTCTACCAGTCTGCTCTTCTCTTAAAGCTCTGCTCTTCAGTCTGTTTGATACACAGCCTAAATAAGCATTGAATCTCTTCATGGAGAAGGAAGGAGGCAGAAATGTCATGCCCAGACTCAGCTTAATTCTTAAAATGTGTCACCAAGAACAAATTCTCTCAGATACACAGAGGGTTTTCTTTAAAATAGCAGCTACTGTTTATGTGAAGTTTTTTTTAAGTCTTCCTCCTTTTTTATTCAGATAGTTGATATGTAATAACACAGTTACTGTTGATAGTAAAATTAATAGATGGTGACTGGGAGTTCAGAACTTTCATATGCTCATGGTTCTAAATTCTATTATGCCGATGAACTCTGTCTTTGAATCATAGAATCATTAAGGTTGAAAAAGACCTCTAAGATCATCGAGTGCAACTGCCAACCCAATACCACCATGCCACTAAACCATGTCCCTAAGCGCCTCATCTACATGTCTTTTAAATACAACCATTCTTTCAGTAAATAAATTTTTCCTCATGTCCAATCTAAACCTCCCCTGGTGCAACTTGAGGCTGTTTCCTCTTGTCCTATTGCTAGTTAGGATTAGCTAGTTACTTCACAGAGTGCTTGTAAGGACTGCCTATATAATGCAACTAACCTACATGAATGCAACAACTCCTTTTATTAGCATGTTTTTTTAATTTAATGAGGGAAAATATTATTTGGTGAAGGGAATTGCTTTTTTTTAGAGACACATTTAAGCCTGTTTTTTGGATGTGTATGGTCATTAAATGAAAAGTGACTAAAATAGGTTTGAAAGGAGACATTGTTCTTGCGTATCTGTTGCTGAACTTCTCTGAATATATGCAACTCTATGCATGAGTATTAAATGAATGGAGAGGTTGGTGAGCTTGTGTGACAGTGTGCTCCCCTGCCCAGCCTGATCTTTATCTCCTGTAACCCTGCTCAAGGAATAACTACCGGGGCAGTTGTTAATGGATGCTGATAGTGATAGCTGTCCATTCGAAGTGGATTCGGGAGCCAGATAACAACACAGTAACCAAGGGCTCTTGTGAGAAATACACCCACCTAACCACAGTTATCAGTATGCAAATATGACTATTAACCACAGTTATCAGTATGCAAATATGACT